TAAAAATTAAAGAGAGATTATTTTCAAAGATTACGTGGAAAATAAAATTTGAAAAATGAAATCAATTTGAAAATAGCAATTTGTTTAAAGGTATAATTTGTCTTCAGTTATTGTTCAAAATTATTGAACAAGCAAATCCAGATGTGGAGAATATGAATTTCAATTGGTTATGAGTATGAATCAATAACATTTATGTCATATTGGGTAGTAAAAGATATCATTTCACCCAGTCCTGCATCTGACTGGCCCTGTGTGAATTTAAGCTGACAGGGAGAGCAGACCACCAGATCAGTTTCATACTACACACTCTCTCATGAATTTGATGCCTCTCTGTTGTATTTTTCAGGCCACATTCTTCCAGCAGAACATGACTTGATTAACAAAACAGAAGGGGGTAAAAAAGCTACTAATGGTTGTGGCAATGATACATAGCAAGAAGACTTTTAAGGGAGTAAAACTGGAGCAGGAAGGCACAACGAATGAAGGAGCAAGCATACTGTTATGTTTTTTCTACTGATTCAGACTGTAAGAACTCATGACAGGGAAGGACTCTAAGACCAAAAAGAAGTATCGTTTAACAAGAGATGCCCAAAAATGAAACTGGAGGAACATACTAGAAACTAATTCCAATTTTTTTTTTTTAGAAAGAAGGGCTTTGATTTTAATTTGATTTTGAAAAAAAGCACTACAAGTAAAACTGACAGCATCAGAATAGAGAGATGAGATATTGAACTTCATTTTTGTTGCAGCCATTAAAAAACAATTTCTGGCCTCCAAGGACTTTACTCTAGCTCAGTTGATATATTTCAATAAAAAGGAAGCACACGATAAAACAAAGACCAACCAGGGTAACAGAAACTTGCTCAAGAGCATATCTCAAATATGCAACGGAAATTATAAATTGTGAGAGAAAAATGCACATTCACTGGCTTTGAAAAGTGGCCATTGTTTTCAAAAGGGAGGCCCATTCCTTTGATTGATAGCCCCAAAGGAGGCAGACTTTGAGTTGGGGCGGCAGTTTCTATACAGGATATCCTCCAAAGGAACTGCACAGTCGGTGTCCCTCTGCTCTGATGGTGTAACTACCACATCCTCTGAGAGTTCACATCTCTTCCATCTCTCAAGTATTAAAGGTGGCATAAAAGGTGCACCAGCAAGTTGATCTTGCAGAGAGTTGTTGGTGATGAATGATGGAGGAAGCCTTGGTGACAGTGAAAGTCAGGCTTCTCATAGATTATAGCACAGTCATTTACTCAGAACATTTCTGAAGGAAAATATTGCTTGGTCAAAGTGGCAAGGGAGGAAAGAAACACACCCACTCTGGAGAATACTGTGAAAGCAAAGAAGGACAGTTTTTTAATGTGAATTGCTCAGGCTTCTTTTAATAAGGATTATCATTTTAGAACAGGAATTGCAACGTTAAACAAATTTCAGAAAGTTTGAAGGATGTAAGTGATCTCTGTTGCGGAAGAGCAAAGAGCTGCAACTGTCAAAACTTCAATACATTTTGTTTTATAAAAAATAATTTATGAGTACATAGACCTGTCAAAAAAGGAGAGGGAAAAAAACACCAAGAAAGTAACCTTGCAGGAAATAGGAAGTGTGGTGAATGACAGAGTTGATAGGATGGCAATTTTTTTAAAGAAATAGTTGGGCTTCTTAAGAGTACTAGCAATGTCAACCAAGCCCCTTGATTAATGAGGTTGTTACTGGGACAGTGGGAAAACCATTCAACTTGTCACAGGGTGGACTGATGGATCAGGCACACCAACTATGAGCATGAAGTAGCTGTCAACGTTGGTCAGAATTATTTTCTAACAAGAACTACATACTTTATTCTGACACCAGACGGCTGTGTTAATTTAGTTTTGTTAGTCAGAAGAATGGATTGATATTATTTATTGAGGACAAAATGCTGGATGTCACTCCTCGGCTGCTTTATTGTTGAGGTTATGAGGTTTTGCAGAAAGAGTGAAAATAGTCTTTAATGAGGACTGGGTGTTTGATTTGGCTAACTATTTTGTTATCAATGGCTTAGAACATTGTGGAAGATGTTCTTTTACAAGAAGTGCATATTTTAAGTTGGCAAGTCAACATGTAATTGAAAAACCTGCTGCTTATAAGAAGGAATTTATTGGAATACATGGAGAAAAGAACAATGCTTCAATATTAATTTTTCAAGTACATGTTCATATACATGTTCAAATGGACTGTTTTGATTAGTCATTTAGTCTTAGCTTTTTACATTTCCATTGCTGTGCACAGAGCGTTGTTTGATTTAATTAGTGTCTGACAGAAACTGCAAGTATAGTACTTGGCCATCGCAAATATGCTGAAGCAATTCATGGGGGACATTTTCTGAAAGCACACACAAGACACGAGCCAAACTGTCTCCTGTTGTCTCAGCATGTTACGTTGTAGGTGGCGCTTGGGTTCCCAAGCAATGAGGGAGATGTTTGGCGTGATCCTCCTCCTGGCCAGCTTGTCTGTGCTCATCACTTACCAGATCAGCAAAGGACTGCTTCAGAAGACCTCAGATGGGGTACTGGAGCTACAGATACAAGTGGACCAGAGGTTTCATGAGTTAAGACGCGTGCTTCATACGTCACGCCATGGTGAAGGTGGCGGTGCTGGAGCACCTGCTGAGGTGGTGCCCAGAGAAAATGTGACATTTAATTCGGGGACCCTAGGTCGGAGGTTACGGCTGTATCGGCAAGATGGCATCCAAAGGCAGATCACTCCACTGTACAGGAAACTGAAAAAGGTAAATTGATATGAAGTGCTTTGTAAAGAATTTTTTGATGAAATTTAACAAAATATGCCAACTTTCCACCATTCATTCCCTCTCATTTGATATTTAGTGTATTTTGCCTAGTTGCAACTCACTAAGCTTCATAGAAAAAACCCACATTGCTTCAATATTCCTCTGGGTATAAGCGACACCTGAATTTCTAACAGATCTAAATCAGCTGTTATCGCTCTATTGAACTTAGTGACCCTCTGGGGATGGCTGTGAAACTCATCCAAACATCTTGGCCCCTGTTCTTGCCTTGGTAATGGATCTGCTTTGCCCTCCTGTGTTTTGTAAATCAAGGTTTATTTATTCTGCCAGCATCCATTGTCACTTGGGGAACCAGGGTCTGCAGTGGCTGCTTTAGTTATAATTCTGTGCACCAACTTGCTGTAGTGTTGAAATCCTAGAGAGAATATTTTGTGTAGTTTTGTTGGTGTAATGGATTCCAGTTGCTTAGAATACTGTTTTTATGCAAATTATGTCCAGATACATATAGGCACAATATAAAATACATTATTGTTTGTATTACAATGATGCAAAATAGTTAATTTTATATTTCTGTAATTTTTGAAAATTCAGTGTGTCTTTTAGTCAATCCGACTGCATTCAGCAAGAGTCCCCAGAGGGTTGGTTTGATCTTCTAAGTATGATATAGTCTCATTAGAACACACCCTTAGTCATGCAATTGAGACTTCCTCAGAATGCAGTACTTATGTCTCTCATCACCAATGCTAATTCTTGTTTTTTGACTTGGCTATAAAATACCTTAAACTGTTTTATTATATAAACAGTACTTGGGTGTCCTGTGAGCTGTGTCAAAAGGTTGTAGTAAGATCAGGCAGTGTTTGGATTGGACACTTTGAATTGGGACATTATACGGGGAAATTGTTGTTATTGATTAACATTACACATTCTGAATGACTCAGATTAAAGCGTAATGTAATACAAATAATAGTAATTCATTATCATATAATAAAACTCATGATGAGAGAAATGATACTGAAATTTATATAATGCACAATCAAATTTAAAGACACTTCTAAACCACAATTTAGCCTTCCTTTTGTCTATATACTACATGTACATTGGTTCTGAATGCTAAGATGAATGACTCCTCTTCATAACTGCAGGTCTTATTTTAAAAAAAACTGTTTACATTACTGTTTTTATTTGACTGGGTAATATTTTTACAAATATTTGAATCATTATATGAAATTAATGTACATGCAGAGAGATATTGTTAGCTACTGTGCCATGTACAATGTACCTTTGTGACAGTTTTCAACTTGAAGTGCCTTTCCTTAATGCTTTTCTCAATAGCACAGTAAAGAAAATTAGCTGTTTACACAGTATCATGGTATGGGTTGTAAAAAATGTCCTAGGTCCATTTCATGCTAGATATTAATGGCATGTTTGACAGGGAGAGATCAAGTTTGGTGTAAGGTTAATACATGAGGCAGAAGGGGTCACTGGTCAGTGTTCTCTTTTTACATCCAGGGGGTACAGTGTTTTGTTAAACACCAGGTTGAGAGACTGACAAATAGCTAGTAACTGAGATGGACCTCTCTCACTCTCTTTCTCTCTCTCAGCAACACACATGCACACACACACATACTGTACATATGTGTGTGTGGAACTTGCTGGCTGAACAGTTTTAAATCCAATTCTAATGTCTCCCATAGATAAGATACCCATTCTCTTGACGAGATGATCTTGTAGTAGAAGCAGTTCTTGCTGTAGACTCATGTGCAGTTTCTGACTAATTCACTTACCATACAAGACATTTTCCTTATTTCATTGTGCTGAATGGATAATCTAATGAGTGAAAGTTAAAGGTGAGAAAAGTTACTTGTGAACTGAACTGAATTTGGGGTGAGTGAACCAATTGATGAGCAT